TGTTCCAGTCGGCACGCCGCGTCGTGATGTCCGAGTGGCAGCACATCATCTACCACGAGTACCTGCCGCATGTGCTGGGCGCCGCCGCTGCCGCCGGAGTCAAGGCCCACACCGAGACCAAAGCAGAACACCCGGCTGACCCCACCGTCAGCGTGGAGTTTGCGCTTGCTGCGTTCCGCTTCTGGCAGTGGCCGCCCTCCGAGGAGGCTATTCAGGCTGCGCCAAGGGTGAGCAGCAGCGCCGCCTTCCTGGCGATGGTGCGCGGCCCGAGCGGCGCGCCTCCCAACGTCACCGGCGCCGAGCTGGCCGCCGTGGAGGTGCTGCGCGGCAGAGAGATGGGCCTGCCCGCCTACGACACCGTCCGCCAGCTGTGCTCCGGCACATCGCTGACCAGCTGGGAGGAGCTGGGGTCAGTTTTTGGCCGGGCAGAGCTGGAGGCGCTGCGATCCATCTACGCCAGTCCCGAGGACGTCGACCTCTGGGTGGGCGGCATGCTGGAGCGGCGCGCTCAGTCTGCTCGGGTGGGCCCCACCTTCCAGTGCGTGATCGCCGACCAGTTCCGGCGGCACCGAGATGGCGACCGGCTCTTCTACGAGCGCAGCCTGAGCGACGGCCAGCTGCGGGAGGTGCGCAAGGCCAGCCTGGCGCGCCTGCTCTGTGACAACGAGGAGGGCCGCAGTCGCGCTGCGCCCCTGGCGCTCGAGCCGCTCACCGAGTGGAACAAACCGACCCTGTGCACATCGAGCACCATCCCGCAGCTGGATCTCAGTGTGTTCTGAGTCTGAACAGCTGTCAGTAGCTTCTCTCTTGTGAATGGCATTTATTAGAGCTCTGCATTCTTATAATGCGATAAGATAGCTCTTTGATGTAAATAATTCATGTGGTATTTTTTAGACTCTTGGACTTGGGCATGAGTTATGTAGTTATTTTTGCATATGCTTTCATGTTAGCACGCTGTTTTACGTGCGGATGTTTGTGTCGTTGTTTTTCTGTTGCCTGGGGCTTGGTTTGGTGCTGTGCAGCTTGGATAGCAGTATATGGAGTTGTAAAATAAAAAGAAAGGCATACCTTCCTTACTGCTGCGCTGTTTTAATTTGGAAAGGAGTATTCTGGTGGAGTCGCTCACATTTCGTGATGTCTGACAAATATTAATAAAATAAAAGGATTTGATACCGCTTGCAGGCGCCGGTTGAAGAGGAGGTGGGAACTGTCTGGGAGTGACGTGACCATAAATAATACGAAGAAAACCAGGCTATAACCAGACATGTGCATGTATCCGAGAAAATGGTTCTGGGATCTGATCCCACGGATCCTGATCTCGGATCCGTCGGGATCATAGATCCAGCTCTGTAATTTATCGAGAGATCCATAGGGATCACAGATCCGAGTCTCATTTTTTGCTTGAGATCCAGTGAGATCATAGATCCTCACTTATTTTTGTTAACACATATACCCCCAAAAAACACTTGTTTCAACTCACAAACGTTCTGTTTTAGTGATTTTATGTGATCGCACGTCATAATCCATAGTTTTGTGTCACTTATTGGTATAGAAACCCTTTAAAACATGGTTTCAAATGTGGTGCATGGTGGGATCCACTCACATCATAGATCCATGTTCTTAATTTATCGTCAGGTCATATGAGATCATAGATCCAAGATGTATTTTTCACGCCGGATCCGGTGGGATCATAGATCCCAACCTGTGCTTTGTTTCGAGATCCACTGAGATCATAGATCCATCACTCGGATCCATGCACATGTCTGGCTATAACAATGTTATATTGCTGGACTTTTTAAGGGGCTAAGTATGAATAGCGTCGAAACATTTGCTAAGTTCTCACGGCACAGGTAGGTGGATACGGTCGTTAGAAAAGATGCTGTTCGTAACAGTTAACAGAGAGTTTACAGAGAGCAGAGTGGTCTTGGTACGATGGTGGGGGCGGAAGCAGTGATGGGATGAGGAGAGATGATTGTCGTACATGTAGGCGATAGGCAATACAGCCGTCGCTGCACCACACGTTCGATCATCCTGGCTATGACAGGAATTTTGGACATCGGACGCCAAGGACGGTAACTGGAGGGTTATGAGGATCACCGAACTTGAAATGGGATGCAACAAGGTGTATTTTCCATGAATCAGGATATCAGGGATTACCGAATATCATGCACTTGGCCGAACTAGCAGTGCACTATGCCGAACTGTCGAAATCGGTTGCACTATTACTGAACTGTGTGCACTATTTCTATATTTGGCCGTAAAAAAGTGTAGCGCATTTCACGTTCACGTGACATTCCACATTCATCATTAGCTCCAGAGCCTTGCTAAACGCTTAAGTTGCGGAAGAAGGTGAGATTTGTTTACATAATCGCATATTTATACCGTGCCTGAGCACTGGCGGTCGCAGCCGCTAGCAAAAGGGGGGGCCAAAGTCACACTCGCGGGACATAACATTTATCCGTCACCGGGAGGGGGGGGGGGGGTGATCGGCAAATTTTTTTACGTTCACGAGGCGCCGCACAGTTGGCATTACTTATGCTTCATCCATCTCATTCTTGCGTGAAATCTTTGAGCTCAATTTAAGGCAAAATCACCAGTTCCATTTACCGTCTCACGGTGTGTCCACCGGTCGGGCCGCTGCACCGTCCATGACGACGGATCGGTGTAGCATAGGTATACTGGAAGGTCAGGCACGCGGATTCATGACCTTACCACTATAAAACAATTCGGAAAAGTACAGATACATCTTGCTAAAAAGTACAGATACCTCTTGCTTTGAACAAGCATGTGAAACCCAGAGAGCATTTTTAGACTATGACATTTACCCATATAGGTACCTAGTTGTGTGGCGGCGGGAGAGAGTAGGTACACCGGCCTCTGGAGACCCCCACAGGTTCCGAGCTTTCAGAATTGGCATCTGAGGGCCGCGCGCGACTCCTGCGGGGCTTCGCAACGGCTCTGTTGGGGCTCACTCAACCTGCCTAGTCCTACTGCTAAAAAGACTGGCCCTGAGCCCTAAGGACTTCATCAGTCTCTGCCAGCCCCAGGACCCACACCGGCTCATGGGGTCCCGACCTCGAAATATGAGGGAATCAGCGCGGGACCATCAGGACGTAAAGCAATCTCGATCAGGACCAACGTAAGGCTGTGCCGGAGACTGCGTGAGCCCTCTGATCTTCAGAAACCCACCCATGTATGTTTTCATGTAGAGGCTAGTTTAGGGCCCTCAGAGACCAGTACAGGGCCTGCAAACTACAAAGGCCAGTAGTTTGAGACCATCAGAGACCGAGTTGGGCTCTCAGAGGCTAATGTGGGTCCTTACTCATTACAGGCCAGCATGGGCCCTCAGAGGTCAGCGTGGGGCCCTAAAAGACCGGCATGAGCCGTCGTTGGACCCTAGAGGCCAGCAGAGGGCCCTCAAAGGCCAAGATGGGCCCTCCTCAGAGGCCAATGCAGACCCTTAGAGACCGGCATCGGGTCTTCAGCAGCCAGTGCGGGGCCCTTATTGGCACCTAAAGGTTCGTCTTGGGACACCAGAGACAGAAATAAGGCCACCAGAGACCGGTGTGAGACCCTCAGACGCCGGTTGGGACCCCTGAGGCCGGTAAGGGGCCCTCATAGGCCAGATGTGGGGCCTCAGAGGTTGATGTAGGCTCTTAGCGGTCAACGTGGGCGCTTGACCGCCACTGAAGTTCCCTCAGAGGTCAGTGTAGGACGTTAAAAGACCGGTGTGGGAGCTATATTAATAGCTGGGCGTGGGTTTTTTTAGCCTCGTGACGATCGAATAATTGCCAGGGCCCCATACACCTATATGGGGGCCCATTGGTTGTTTGAGGGGGGGGCAAATGATATGATGGCCCCCTTTATTGACCTTTGGGGGCATGGCCCTGATGCCCCCCCGGCCCCCGCGACCGCCACTGTGTACACATTACACACATGCCTCTGAGATTACATACTAGCTCATGCAAACTCTATGCAGGCCCCGGAGGTCCCACGCTAATCCTTAAGAAACCAAGCCGGCATACGGCGTCACCACCGGGCTTCTGAGGTGCACAGCACCAACCCATGAGGTCTTACTTTAGTGTCTTGGAGCCAATCTCCTTTAGCAGGGCCCACCCACCACTGCCGAAGAGGGTCTCATGCCAGCCATTGCTGAATGCTGGGCCTACGAGAGCCTCAAGTAAACCCACGCTGATATTCCATATAAGATCCGGCCATACTCGTGAACCGGTGCCAGCGACGCTGACCGCCAAATTGACAGAATGCGAAACTGAGCCCACTCATGAGTGAAATTTACGTCCTTTGATGGCGCAAGAAAGAAAATGAAACATACGAAAAGTTTTTCTAGGACTTTTGTTCGATCTGAAAGGTGGGGCCAAAAGATAGTATGGCCCCACCTTTCAGCACCAAAGGGGGGGGGGCCATGGCCCCCGTGGCCCCCCCCCCCTGCGACCGCCAGTGTGCCTGAGTTGTTTGAACATTGCCGTATGCACATGCCGTATGTCGAAATGGAGCTAACCTGACGAATTATTTGCACTAAGTCTAAGATGTCAGACCTGGGTCACTTTTAACTGCACTATGACGGAGTGGGGTGCACAATTACGAATATCGTGCCGCGATTCAATACATGAACGCACTATGCCGAACCTTCGAAATCACCTGCACTCTTACTGAAATGTGTGCACTTCCGCCTAAATTGGGCGTAAAAAGGTGAAGGTGGCGAAAACTACGTTATTTTGAGCTTAGTGTAGATGATCTTTTTACCCCTTTTACTCCATTCAACCCTGACGTATATGTGTTTTTTACTCGCTATAACTATGACTACGCTATATCACGACCAATTACGATCTTCTCTCCAATTGGATTGGCCTTATCTCATGTAGCAAAAGACGCAGATAGACAAAGTGATTTATGGGCTATGGCATCATTTTTTTCGGAGGCAAAGAAAATTGAGCGAATCCAACAGGATCTTCGTTTCCAAATAAAAGACAGTCGAGCTGTAAGGTACGCTTATTTTTATTTCACAACTGCATATTGCTAATTGCTATCCAAGCTGCGCTGCACTAAACCTCTAATGCCCAGGCAACAGATAAAACACAAGCATCCACACGTAAAACAGCGTGCTAACGTGGAACCACATGCAAAAACAGCTTACGAGTATGCCCATGGCTAAGAGTTTCACAAAAACGCATAATTACTTACATCAAAGAGCTAGCTATCTTATCGCATTATAAGAATGCAGAGCTCTAATAAATGCCATTCACAAGAGAGAAGCTACTGACAGCTGTTCAGACTCAGAACACACTGAGATCCAGCTGCGGGATGGTGCTCGATGTGCACAGGGTCGGTTTGTTCCACTCGGTGAGCGGCTCGAGCGCCAGGGGCGCAGCGCGACTGCGGCCCTCCTCGTTGTCACAGAGCAGGCGCGCCAGGCTGGCCTTGCGCACCTCCCGCAGCTGGCCGTCACTCAGGCTGCGCTCGTAGAAGAGCCGGTCGCCATCTCGGTGCCGCCGGAACTGGTCGGCGATCACGCACTGGAAGGTGGGGCCCACCCGAGCAGACTGAGCGCGCCGCTCCAGCATGCCGCCCACCCAGAGGTCGACGTCCTCGGGACTGGCGTAGATGGATCGCAGCGCCTCCAGCTCTGCCCGGCCAAAAACTGACCCCAGCTCCTCCCAGCTGGTCAGCGATGTGCCGGAGCACAGCTGGCGGACGGTGTCGTAGGCGGGCAGGCCCATCTCTCTGCCGCGCAGCACCTCCACGGCGGCCAGCTCGGCGCCGGTGACGTTGGGAGGCGCGCCGATCGGGCCGCGCACCATCGCCAGGAAGGCGGCGCTGCTGCTCACCCTTGGCGCAGCCTGAATAGCCTCCTCGGAGGGCGGCCACTGCCAGAAGCGGAACGCAGCAAGCGCAAACTCCACGCTGACGGTGGGGTCAGCCGGGTGTTCTGCTTTGGTCTCGGTGTGGGCCGTGACTCCGGCGGCAGCGGCGGCGCCCAGCACATGCGGCAGGTACTCGTGGTAGATGATGTGCTGCCACTCGGACATCACGACGCGGCGTGCCGACTGGAACACGCGCTCGTCCTCCCAGGAGGGGTTGTTCCGTCGCAGCGCGTCCGCCACACGGTTGTGCTCGCGCAGCAGGATCTGGTTGAGCCGGTCCGGGGAGGGCACGGAGGGACGGTCTGCAGAGCCCACACTCCGCCCGTACGGTTGCCACGGTCTCGAGCCGTGCTGGTTTTGGCCCGAATTCGAATAATCATTGGGAAGGATGATTCGTATGCCCCCTGGCAAGCCGCGAGGTCCCGGACGACCTTGTCTTCCCCTGTGACCATCTTCCCCTTTGTCGCCTTGGTCGCCTTCGGGCCCCCTACGGCCTTCATCGCCCTTTGCTCCAGGCCTTCCCCATTGTCCTACTCGCCCTTTGACGCCTTGCATGCCAATAAGTCCCCGATCTCCCTTAGAGCCATCTCCCCCAAAGTCACCCTTCATGCCGAATTCTCCCTTTGAACCCTTTTGTCCTTTTGTTCCTTGAACACCCTTTGCACCCTGCATACCTTCATTGCCCTTGATGCCTAATTCACCGAATTCTCCCTTTGAGCCCTTCATGCCTTTATCACCCTTTACACCTTTATCGCCCACTCCTCCCTTTCTGCCCTTCCTACCTGTTAAGCCCTTACTGCCACCTTCACCGATTGAACCATCTGCGCCATCATCGCCGTCTTCACCGCTATCGCCCTTGTTACCCTTTTCACCTTTCCTTCCTTTGTCACCTTTCATGCCTTTCATGCCCTTCTCGCCTGATTCTCCTTTGGCACCCTTAGCGCCTTTCGAACCTTTGGTTCCCTTAGCACCATCTCCTCCCTTTATGCCCTTCTCGCCTTTGTCACCGTCTATTCCGCTGTTCCCTTTCATGCCACACACTCCTTTGTTGCCTCTCCTCCCCTTGCTGCCTTTGTTGCCTTTTCTTCCTCGTCGACCTTTCTGCCCCTTGTCACCCTTCACAAAAGTCACGACTTTTGCATCTATGCCAAGCTGCCGTTCGGTTTCCTCCTGGCGCTCAGGAAGTGCTGCGCTGGGTGTTTTCTCAGAACTCGGGCTTTGCTCGGCAGACACTGTCAGCTCGTAGTCCAGGTCCAGTACCTGATCGAGGATACCAATCAGGAGACCGCGGTCAGCGCGCAGCCGGCCCCCGCGGAACGTCCTCAGTCGCCTGCCGGCCTCCTCGGAGCTGCCGTACAGCGTCTCCAGGTCCAGGTAGGAGGAGGCGGCAGACAGCGGCGCCGCCGGCCGCATCACGCAATCCAGTGCGGACGCCGGTAGCGCGCGTACGAAGCTGACGCAGCGGTCGTCCACGTGCAGCGGCAGACAGGCCGGGTGGCGCTCGGAGCAGCAGTCGGGCTCGCGGCCGCTGGCCAGTCGGAACGGAGCGATGCGCGCCAGGTCCAAACTGAGGTACTCGGAGACGGTGGAGGCCCAGTCGCCGAGCGGCTCTGAGTGCAGCTGGGCCGCCACCAGCGACCCGACCGCATCGGCGGCCGGCAGCGGCGAGACCTCGGCGCCCAGCGAGCGGGGCGAGAAGTACAGACCGTCTTCGAAGGTGGCATTGGCCAGCCGACCGAGCCCGGTGAGCGCTCGACCCAGAAACGGGTGCTGGTGGAGAGACCAACGACAACTTTAGTGTGTTTGGAGAAGGACATGACGTGATTTTTGGCGGACAAGTAAAAGAAACTGCTTAAAAATATTACTTGCCCCAAGACATCTTATTCTTTCAAGTAATTTTAAAATGACTGACACAAATAAAGTGAATTAGAGTATGCGTCGCGTCGTGATGAAACTCAAGCGTAATCAGCGCTGACGCCAGCTCACCTCCAGATTGTTACACTGGCCACCGATGGTCCGTATAGCAGCGGCGGATCGGTCGCAGAATATTTCAGTGGCGGGCACACAGCCGGGGATCCGGCGACGGGCATCTTCACCAGTGTCCAGCCAGGTTGAGACGGTCTCTGGCACCCTGGCAGCAGGGAAGGGATTTTAAACATCCTGTCGGCAGGGCAAGGTATCATCAGCGACCCCATCACTGTGGAACTCAGGACGAGTGGTTCCTTGACACTACACAGAAACGAAACTGAGCGTTCTCAGGTAGCAAAAGCGCAGATATATTTTTGATTTCCAGATGTTTAAAGCAAACTGTTGAAACCATTGACAAACAATTTTCGTGACCAAATGTCTGGGATGTCTGTTACGCACCACACCGGCTACGCCAGCGGCTCCTGCGGCTGACACTCACGTCTCTGTCTGGTTGCTGACGGCCTGCATGGTGAAGAGCCGCTGCAGGCCGATCCTTCCCACCTCCTGGGCCACGCTCCAGTCGCCGGCGGAGGCCGTGTCCAGGCCGGTCAGGTCAACACCGTCGGGCACGGGCCGCTGCAGCAGCGGCGTCAGCCGGGCCTCCAGCTCGGCCAGCCGGGCGGCCGCCGCCGAGGCGTCCTGCACCGCCCGCTCGCCCGAGAAGGAGGCCGTGTCCGCCGACAGCACCTGCTGCTGACCGGCCAGGCGGCGCGCCGGCTCGGCGGGCCCGGCCCCCGGCGGACAGACGACGCCATCGGAGCCGTCATTCAGAGAGCACGGTGACGCGCCCGTCCACTGTGCCGACGGACAGAGGATCGGAGCGCTGCACGCCGACGGCCTGGGCAGAGCACGTGACGTGTTAGAGACAGGCTTGATTTCAGGTACCTACCTCATCTAATAAAGATAATAAGGATAACAATATTACTATTGCTTGACAAAAATATTGCTATAATAAATATAATATTGCTTGGAATCTAGGTACAAAGGGCAAACAACAGCCCATCAAATATCATCTCTTGAAAAAGTCTAGGGCACATCACTGGGCCTGTTCCATTGGCTCCTCTAACCTCCTCTCCTCAAAGCTCCTCAAAGCTCATGAAATCGTTCCAGTGGCTCCTCCAACTTCCTCAAAGCTCCTCTGAAACTCGCCTCAAACCTCCTCTAACCTGCTCCGAAATGAAAGGTGGTTTTTCGGAGGAGGCTATGGACGACACAAATGGCGCGGCAAATACAAAACAGGTGCACCGTGCTGCCTAGTTATCGGTGTGCGTAGTTATCGGATAAAATTAGGCAAGTTTGCCAATAATCGAACGAATTTTATTAATCGTCGTGCAAATATCGTGACGTGCAAATATCAGACGTGAGCTTTTATGAGTGAAATGCGCCAGGTTTGCAAAAAAATTATTTCCACAAACAGCTGATACCTCCTACGAACTGCGTTGCAGTGGTCACCGAAATCGGGACGAAATACGGCCTCCTCCAACCTCCTCAAAGCTCCTCTCATCTTTTTTTCTGAGGAGCTTAAGCATTTAGACCAGGTCTGGTCAGGTCAGGTCAGGTCAACCGGTAGGGGTTGTGACTTGTGACGGGTATTCGTAATACGTGTTAACCGCCTCTGACAGCTTCGTAACATGTTACGAAGGCACAAAAACTACTTCGTAAATGTTCAAATGGTTGCTAAATTCAAATTCAGCTCCAAAAACTAGCCTAGAAACATGTAAAACTCGAAAAAGTGATCCGAGATCACCCGAGGTCACCAAAGGTCAATGACCTGACCTGACCTTCAGGTGACCTTGACACCCACCCTAATGTATGGGAGCAACATCAAATCACATGTTTGAACGTTTGAAACCACGAAAAGCCTGGAAACGCGCGGCTAATGCGAGCCGACATACGCCGAATCGCGATTCCGGCCAAACATGGTCTCGGAAAAGAGGTCACAGGTCAAAGGTCATTTGGGTCAGGATCATGAAATTTTCAGGATAGGTGTAAAATTGATCAATGCGAGGGTACTGAAGTTTCATTGCGATCGGCCGCTTTTTACGCGAGTTATTCGCGAAAACCCTTAGGGGGGCTGCATCAACCCCTTCGTGCCGGCGAGGGTTAAAGAACATAGAGGATTCTTCATGGCTCCGAGTGGAAGATAAGGATAACTTTTGAGTGGAAGATAAGGATATCTTTTCCAAGCGGGTTACTGAAAAACCGAGCGACGAAGGAGCGAGGTTTTTCTGTAACACGCGAGGAAAAGATATCCGATCTTCAACGAGTGAGCCATGAGGAATCCTATATCTATCTATGTTGAGGTTTATTTTTAATTAATTAAATATTATATTCAAATGTATTCATCTATGTAAAAAAAGATTTACTGTAGTTTGTTTTTATTTCATAAGTTTCGTACATATACAGCCATTAAAAATGCCGTTGGGTTATTGACCCATCATCAGTTAAACTCTTGATTTTTGGCTATGAACCCTCGAGACCTTATCTTTGCATCTCAGAGCGATGCAGAGATAACAAATTCTTATCTTTGCATCTCAGAGAAGTGCGAGATAGAAATATCCCTGCACTGTAGACCCAATGGCAAATAAACCTCAACTAGAAAGATAGAGCCATCATCTATGCATATATAGAGAAGTATGTGTCAAGGGCAATGCAAAGTCATCAAAGGTCATCATAAACCAGTAAAACGCCTTTTGGGCGAAGAACGAGCGAGCGAGATGATGAGCCCTGCACGTGCGGAAGGGCGAGAGGGTACTTCCAACGGGCTTGTGCAAAGCACCCTTCTAACCGGTCGCTAGCGGTGTACCAAATTTGAACGCAATCGGCCCAGCCGTTCCTGAGATCTGGAAGCGGCATTCTGCACGTGCGCACGTGCAAACGGGTCCAAACTGACTTTTGCACGGCACCCTACTAACTGGTCCCCAACCGTGTACCAAATTTGAGCGCAATCGGCCCAGCCGTTCTCGAGATCTGGAATCGACCCCTGCACGTGCGCACGTGCAGTAGCACCCTAACCGCAACATATGGGAATGCATTGCCTGGTGGGTGCCTACCTGTATGCCAAGTTTCAGCGAAATCACCCCAGTAATTACCGAGTTACTGAAATGGGAACAAATTTGGCACCTCCTCTTTTTGTATTTTGCACGTGCAGTGGGGGTTACTCACATAGATCAAGAGTATCCGACCTTTGGTAGAAGGGATGCAGCTACCCTATAAAAAATTACCGCAAGACAATCGCTCAAGCCGCTGCTGAGATATGGGCCTCTCAAAATCACTACTTTTGCAAAACTGCTTGAACACCCTTGACTTTTCACGTGGCACGTGCCACGACGGTCACTGAGATGTATCAAAAGTAGTCAATTACGGGGTAGAAGGGATGGGGCTACCCAGCAAAAAAGACTGCAGGCCAATCGGTCCAGCGGTTGCTGAGATATAAGCCTCTCAAAAGCGTTACAGGCCGGGCCGGGCCGGGCCGGGCCGGGCCGCTCATACTGAGATTTTTCCGTTATATTGAAAAGACTTCGCTTCGCTCGCTGCGCTCGCTCGCTCGTAACAAGCTATGAAATGAGAGCAGGTGGCGCCCTTTCAATGCATTGCATGAGAAAGCATGATACCATCGTAAAAGCTAAATATAGGTCAAGGTCATTTCGAAGTAGGTCAAAATGCCACGCTTAGGTCTTAACAGTTAAGCCTCCAGGGGACAAAATTCTTCATATTGCCGTTAGTAGTGTGCCACCTTTGAAAGATTTCCCATTTTATTTTTCCTAGGATAAGAAGCTTCTGTTTTTACCTAATATCGCAAAAAAAAATCAAAAATGGGCCTGGAATAGTGCCTTTTTCGCCTAAAAGTTTATCGGTTTTTAGATATGTATAACAACTGTAGTGGGCTCACCTGCAAACAGGCGTCGGCAACAATCGCGAATGCGGCGCACATGTGACAATAAGCAAAGGTCATTATAGTGTTACGACCACACGACGTACGGGAATGAGTTATCAGCTGTCTAATCGTAGACAACACAATGTCGAGCCTTAAACTGTAAGCCTGTATTGGTATTGTTTCTTTTATTTGGCTGTCGAACATTATTTATGGTTTGAAATATGATTTTATGTAAAATAATTGATATGAAAAAGCCGTCTCATAAGTTATGACCCCATTTCACCACACGCAAGTGGCAGAAATGACAATGATCAGCTGACGCATTTTTCTTGGCTTAAGTCAGAGCGCGCAGCCCGACGCACCACCACCGCACCACAAAGTATGAGCAGAAGCCGCGCCCAAAGCCAGGGCCCCGGTAACGTGAGGTAGCCGAGTCGGGGCAGCGTGCGCTGACCCAAGCCGGGGCCGCAGCTTTGGGCGCGGTCTACCGCATCCCCGCGGGCAGCCCCGGGCTATCACATGACACCGGGAGGACGCGCGGCTCCGGCTTGGGTCAGCGCACGCTGCCCTGACTCGGCTACCTCACGTTACCGGGGCCCTGGCTTTGGGCGCGGTCTACCGCACCACCTGACAGGCGTGTTCGAAACCGCAGGAGCTGATGATGAACGGGTTTATCGAAACTTGATTGGATGAGCATATCGGTAATAGCGATTTCAGTGTGTGCATTTATTGTTCATAGTGGTGTGAAATGTGGTTGGGGTACGACCGACAACCCGTCGGGGCGAATTTCGCACTGGGGTACTCAAAATTTGAAGAATTTAAGACGTTTCCATGAGTTTTGAGGGTATGGATAAGTTCTAAAAATCCGGTTCTCCTTATCTGGGCCATTAACTCCATACGGTCCAGGAAAGCTGGCACACTACCTTTAATAATATTGCCGTTTTACGAAAAACATGTTTTGTTTAGTAATAACTTATGACTCTGGAGTCTGGAGCGGCACAAGATTGCTTTAACCAGCACCGTGTTTCTCACGTTAAATCGCGTTGAATGAGTTTAATTTGACTTTAAAAGGTCAATTTAAAAGGTTAGGTGCCCTAAGGTCAAGGCCATGATCTGACTGGAAGAGGTCATTTAAAAAAACTGCTGGAGCATTTCCATAAAGCGGGGTCACGGGTGCAAGTTTCCGATTCAGTGTGTCATAGTAACTCGATGCTTGAGAGTGTTAGGTATTTATAAGTCCATCCATAAGAGGCACGTTTTAATTTTCTATCATTAGCTTATAATGGCGAGGTCACAGACCTGACCTGACCTTAGGTCACCGCCATCAAAGTTTCGAGATGAAAATTTTATACAAACCATTGTTATCATTAATCGCTGACAGTTTCAAAGCGATCGTTCAGTCGGTGTAACTACGGCGAGCATTGTAACTTTTTTTAGTTAAGATCACTTGAGATGACTCGGTGACCTGACCTTGGGTGACCTGGATCTGGCATTTTCACAGCACATGAAAAAAGCTGCATGACCTGAGGCGTCTTGCACCAAACCACCTAGGTAGGTGAAATCGAAAAAACGATTTCAGAGCTAGCTAGCCTAATGGTGGTAAATTATTTTGTACGTACGTAAGGCCTTTTTATTTTGTACGTAGGCCTTTAGGTGCTTGGTACTTGGTAGAATTTATTACCAGCAAAACGCCTTTTGGGCGAAGAACGAGCGAGCGAGATAGTGAGCCCTGCACGTGCGGAAGGGCGAGAGGGTGCTTCCAAGGGGCATGTGCAAAGCACCCTTCTAACCGGTACCCAGCGGTGTGCCAAATTTGAACGCAATCGGCCCAGCCGTTCCTGAGATCTGGAAGCGGCATTCTGCACGTGCGCACGTGCAAACGGGGTCCAAAATGACTTTTGCACGGCACCCTACTAACTGGTCCCCAACCGTGTACCAAATTTGAGCGCAATCGGGCCAGC